GCCTAACTTTCTTTCTGTGGTATTTTTATGCACAATTGCGTTTAGTCTTTCACAAAACATAGCTAACGTAGGGACATTATAACTAGCCACCATATTGATTTACGGTCTTAAATATGTCCAGCACTTTTTTTTTAAAGGCTGGTCCCTTTTTTTATACAGTCTATGGTCTGGTCCAGCGTTTATCGGGTTGTGCGTCAGTAATAATGGTCCGTGGGGAAACACGGTGTTCCATGTGTAGTTACAGTAAATGGACTAAACAAAACCTCAAAGCAAATAATTTGCCTCGATGATTTTTTGTATTCGAGTTACTCAAGGTATTCAAGGAATCGTTTCAGCCCTAATAAATATAAAGTGCTTCTTTACAAAACTGACTATTTTGACAACATAACTAACAACTAGTCTGTCTACTGTGTGTCTTCAGTAGACTAAAAGAGACAGGGATGTTTTTACCTCTCTTTATTGTTGTCTGAAGATTCATATTCCAGAAACACAATCTTCTGTGGGTAGTGACCACACACCTCCCCATTGGTGTTGTGGATGATACTGTACTTGTAGTCCCGGTCAAACAGCTCCAAACAGCGCTCCTCTATTCTCTCTACCTGAAAATACATATATACAATTTTCATAAAAACATTCATAAAGCAAAAAAAAGAACAAGAGCAAGTTCAACCCTCTAAATTCAGCAACAATCAGAAACAGATATGACTCATAACCAGTGTTGGGGAAAGTTACTTTTAAAAGTAATTCATTACAATATTGCGTTACTCCATAAAAAAGTAACTAATTACATTACTTGGTTACTTTTTATGGAAAGTAATCAATTACGTTACTTTTGCATTACTTTTTAAATCTGGACAGGGCTTGCTTGTTTGTTTTTAAAATAAAAAAGTTATATTTTTGGCAAATATAAAAGCCTATTCACACGAAAAGTGAAATGAATAAGCCTCAGGCTGAAGGGAAAGTAAATTTACGTCCGTACAGTAGAATGCAGAAGAAGAAATTTCAACACACTTCAGCAATAAAAAAAGACACAAATGTTTTGTCTAGAGTAATTTGTGCTGATTAGTACGGTTGAACTGGATCATCGAAGGTCAGAAGCAAAGACATTGGTTAATAGAATGGGATTAAATACATAAAGGATATTTGTGTTGTTTAACATTAAATTGTTACAGGTTTGCGTCATATTCTGAGTTGCATTATTTTTATTCATTATGAGCAATACCACCAAATAATGTTCTTTTTAGCAACGTCATATGACCCCTTTAATAGAATGGGATTAAATACATAAAGGATATTTGTGTTTTTTAACATTTAATTATTGCAGGTTTGCGTCATATTCTGAGTTGCATTATTTTTATTCATTTTGAGGAATACTGAATCTGTGTATTTTTTTCGTGTGTGAGTGAGATGAATTAATGCATATTCATATTTTTTTTAGAACTACAGTAACATCTTCTGATTTCTCTCAACATGGGGACAGGAGAGCTGTCAGTCAATAAATTGGAAAAAAAAGTAACTTGCGTTACTTATTTGAAAAAGTAACTCAGATATTCTCTTGTAAATTAAAAAGTAATTTTACTAGTTACTTGAAAAACGTAATCTGATTACGTAACTCGCGTTACTAGCTAAGGAACTTTAACCAGCCCCAACACTGCTCATAACTAAAGTAATTTATTTTTTTGGTGTTAAAAATAATGCTGGATCAAACAGGGTAACTTTGGTGTCAATTATGAAAAGACATGCTAACGCAATGAAAATACTTTCTTAAAGACAAAATTGACTATATTCTAATGGCACTTTTAACTGTTAAATAGTAGGATGAAGAAGTTGTTCAATATGGTTTAGCCACCTTTATTTAGCAAATATCAGAGCTAAAAGTCAGTTTATTCACATTTGCAGTAAAAGCTAATCATTTTAAGTGTACAAATCATTTTAACTATGCAACCAGTTTAACAACTACTGCCTGTGAAATGTGAGAATGGTTATGTCATTTTGACAAGAACCTGCATTATTTCCCTGGACTTTCATCATCTCTGAGACAACACCTAATGTTAACCACAACACTGAGCCATAGTGCTCATGTAGACAATACAAGTTCGAACCCAAAAATCAGCCTGTTATTTTGCTACGTCTGATCTACACCATAACTTCTATATGACTGTTTGCATTTATAGTTCTGCACTGGTGTGTTTGTGCCATTCTGCAAGTACACCTGCAGGCCCTATGTGCGCATCCCTTTCAGAAGGGTGTTCACAAGCATTCCCTTTGAGGATGCTATGCATACTCAACGCATGGTCTCTTGGTTAGCATGACAGATTACAACTGTGGACAAATTACAATTACTGTGGTCTATATAGACAGGACATATAGTTACATTAAATCAGTCTTAAGGGTTGTGGGTTAGTTTTAACTACTGTGATGGTGTGTTAGAACATCAGCATCATCTCTCATCCTTTTTTCAACAAAATTAGCATACAAAGTTAAAATAAAGGTAAAATAAAGAAGAACATGTTTAACATTTATTCATTTTTTCTCTGCTTAATCTGTGACTTTGGAAAGAAAAGACTCATGACTCATGAAATCAATTTCCCTTTGGAAGTTCCTTAAAGTCATATGAGCTGATTCCAGCTGCTGTGCCTTAAAACCAATTGAAATGCCTTCCTAGATAATACTGTCCTGCTATCATAATGAAGAAAAATGCTTAATTATGAAAGCATTATTATGTAACATTATGAAGTAATAACATTAAATACTATTAATGTTTTACTTGTACCACATGACATTATCAAATTCACTAATTTATGTATTTATTATTATTTATTTACTTATTATTCATTTGACAATTGTATACACTTTTTCCAAAACCATATTAAACCAACATGAATACAAAGACTACATTGATATGAATTTGGCACGTGTTAAACTACTTTTTTTCCTTTATCACGGACACTCTTAAATGCCATTGGCCTATTTAACAGCTGCTTTGCATTATGGGAAGGAATTAACTGATGTTTGATGTTTCCGGTCTTACCGACTGGGTGACCTCCCTTGCTCTGTACTGACTCTTTGAAAACACATCGATCAGTTCGGTAATCTCCTCGCTCCGGCTAGCCATTATCGAGCCGTCACCCGCCTTCTGCTCGATTCGAACCCGGCCTTCCTTAAATAGCGCAGCTCCCTGGGTCCTAGAGGATCCTCCAGACCATCCCTTCAGGGCAAGCTTTTTCCTCACCGTCCGCTTTAAGACGCCGGAGCCGGTGACGCGTCCCGAGTTCAGGGTCCTGGCGGGATGATTCCCCTCCACAGTACTGGTGATCAAAATAACCCGTTACCGACGGTACTATAAGACACGCGAGAAACTTCAAAACTTCTCACCGCTATTATTTCTCCAAATTAGCAAAAAGAAAGAGTTTTGTAATTCCCGTTTCCGTGTGTCGTTTCTTTTCCAGCACTCACTTCAAAACACCGCATGCCACAAAATAACCCGGTCACCAATCACAGGAAATCCACACGATTTTAAGTCTTCACACGCTTTTTATCCTTGAGTTTTATAATGAACTTGATTTCGATCTGGAGACAAAACATTCAGTGTTGTTTTCAACCCCAAAACTGTCGGGTGTGTGTAAAGGCACACAGAAGAGCGATTTGTAATGCTGAAATGAAATCTATCCGTGTTGGATATAGCTAAGGAACTTTAACCAGTGCCAGTAGTAAACAGGAAACTGAAGTGATCATGTGATCTGTACTTCCTGAAAGGAGACGTCAAGCTGTCGCTATTGGGTTGTATGGTTGTTTGACATTTCAGCTCAGAGCGTTAGCTCTTGTACTTGCCCAAATTGTTTAAATTAGTATTAGGTTCATTAGAAACGGCCATTTATTTAATAATATTAGATTTATTTGTTTTTTATCTTATTGCCTATTCTTGCATTTATTTATTTATTTATTTATAGATAAGATAAGATAAATTTGGGACTTATCCTTGTAATGCCATGAAAATTCTTAATGCAGATGGAAGTAGCCCTGTGAAATTAATTTAAGGTACCATAGATTTTATTTTGAAAGAGATGTTTTTATTGTTGCTCACGCATTCTTCCTCTTCGAGGAAGAAGCATTTTGTCACCTGGCTGTTGCTGTTTTTTTAATAAACAAATTTTTTTGCAGTTTTCTGTGACTGTATGAACCTGACAATATTTAGTTTTTTATAATTTAGTTATTATATATTTTTTATTTTGAAACCCTTGGCTGTTATGTTATGCAATTGTTCGAGCATTAAAAAAATTAAAGTCCCCCTGCAGTAATTTAGTTTAAATTTCATCATTTTAATAATCAAAATGTCATATTTAAAAAAAAAATTCCCATGAAAATAATTTCTTCATGCCATATGGCGTGAATATAACTTAGATACCCTTTACCTTATATCAGTATACACAGAACCATGAATATACAAATTAGTCCCCACCTACACTAAATCACACCAGCTTGGACTACCCCACTTTCACTCGGTTAACTTCAGTAGTAAACGTTACACAATGGCAGGACTGCCAACTCTCACGCATTCAGCATGACTCACACCACACATTCATTTTCTCACATGGTGAAAAGCACCCTCAAATGAAAGCAAGAGCTCCCTCAGCTGAAACGGTGATCATCAGTGGTGTACTGGACACCCCCGCGGTACCGCGGGGGCACACAGAACCAGTGACGGAACTAGAGTTTTATAAATGGGGTGGCCAGGGTGTGGCCAAGGCTAATTCAGGGGGTCCATAGACCATGACAGAAAATCAGTGTATAACTCCAACCTGGCATAAAAAAACGCATGAATAAATCCTACAATTGCTGATTACTTAACATGACCCCACATTAGCTATACATTCCTACCATAACTTAAAATGTTAGTCTATTGAAACTAGACTTGTGCCGGTTTTCGGTAATGCGATATATCACGGTAATGAATATGCACGATATTGTTATCATGGGCTCTTCTAAATACCGTGAATAATTATATATTACAAGTTATTCAGAATTTTGATTTCTGATTTTTGATCATTTTAAGAATACTTTTCCCATCAACTGGTCAAAATGCACAACATTTTGAAAGTTGCAACTGTGTTATTTAATGAGCTAACATGAACTAAGACTTGTGTTTTTTTAAACAAAGATTAATAACTTCTGTCGCAAATGTAGCTATTGCTCATTGTGAATGTTAATGCATTAACTAAGGTTAACTAATGAGGTCTTATTGTAAAGTGATACCTATTGGTCTTTATAGTTCTTTTGCACTTTAATCTGTGTAAAACTTTTAACTTTATACATTTTTCTGTATTGCTTTATTGCATTTAAATGTTCAGTTATTTTTGTTATAAGAAAAAAAGTTATTAAACCTGTTATACTGTATTATGACAGCACTTTTTTACAACTAAATTTCAATACCGTGATAATACCGTATACCGTGATAAAAGCATTAGCAATTAATCGCAACATGAAAATTTGATACCGGCATATCCCTAATTGAAACTTATTTCTCTTATTTCTATCATCTCATTAACTTGTAGGCTAGTGAATTTTGTAAATGTTGTTCAGGAACCCTAAAACTTCAATTACTTCAAACAGGGCTGACAACTTTTAAGTTCAGCCTGGAGTGAGAATTCAGGAATAATTAACAAGCCTGCGATTACTACCAGACCAGTCAAACGTTTTTGAACAGAAAGATTTTGAGTTTTTTTTTTTTTTTTTTTAAAGAATTCTCTTTTGATCACCAAGCCTGCATTTATTTGTTCCAAAATACAGCAAAAGTACTAATATTGTGAAATATTTTTAACATTTAAAATAACTGCTTTCTGAGTTTTTTTTTTTTTATGTAATTTTTTAATGTGATTTCAATCCTGAATTTTTAGCATCTTTATTCCAGTTACATGATCCTTCAAAAATCTTTAATATTCTGATTTGCTGCTCAAAAAACATTTATTATTATTATTATTATTATTATTATGTTGAAAACAGTAGATAGAGTAGATTTTTCAGGTTTCTTTAAAGAATAGCATTTATCTGAAATAGAAATCTTTTGTAACATTATAAATGTCTTAATCATCACTTTTGATCAATTTAAAGCATCCTTGCTAAATAAAAGTATTAATTTCTATTATTTCTTTCACAAAAAATAATATAAATAAATAAACTGACTCCAAGTGTATAGTGTATAATCTTACAAAATTTTTTTATTTCAGATAAATTCTGATCTTTGGATCGTTCTATTCATTAAATTAATCCTGAAAAAAATTTACTCAACTGTTATTATATTAAATATTGTAAATATTCATAATAATAAAGAAAATGTTTCTTGAGCAGCAAATCAGCATATTAAAATGATTTCTGAAGCATCATGATGTGACACTGAAGACTGGAGTAATGATGCTGAAAATTCATTTTAATAATCAAATAAAAAGCAGCTAATTTAAATAGCAAAAATATTTCACAATATTACTGCTTTTGCTGTATTTTGGATCAAATAAATGCAGGCTTGGTGAGCAGAAGAGACTTTACAAAACACTAAAAATCTTACTGTTCAAAAACGTTTGACTGGTAATGTAGGCCTACTCAATTTTTCTAAACTAAACTATACAGGGAACCCTATTGTTAAGGTTAAAAGTAACAATTGATTTGTATACAAGTTATAATAAAGTTATATCTATACATTTTTATTGATTATAATAAAAAAGAGCAATTATGAATAAATAATATATAAATGTAATGTTTGCAAAATTCTCCTTGTACATTTTTCTCGCTAGTTTATGGACACTGAATGGATTTTCTGCAGTTATGTGACAGTGTTTTCAAGCTGCTGTCTTTCCGTGATTGAAACACTCATTAGGCAACATGAGACACTCATAGGCGGAGTTTCACTTTTATGCGTGGGGGGGGGCACCCACTGGCAGACGAGCCACGAGCACTTTTTTATATGTTCTACATTTCATCCATCATGTAAGCAAATCAACAGCGTTTACAAGGTGCTTGGTTTCATTTCTTTGACATGTTCAATACGTAACCTGTGCGTAGCCATGATTTAGCTCGTAGTCAGAGCGGCTATCTGTAGCCCACTTATAATCAAACCTGATTCACTGTAGTTTTTGGCCAGGCAGATGTCATTTTCGCCCACAGCTTCTTATCAAATGCAAGTAAACTTATGAAACATTTAAATTAGCATTATTTTATATTTTATTTAATTATTTTACAGCATTATTAAATATAACATTATTTATTATGCCAAAAATAATGCTCATTTAAATGTTTCAAAAGTTTACTTGCATTTGATAATATGATGTCATGCATCCCACAAGCTGTTAAATGTTACATTCATACACATATTATTGATATTCGACTGTCTTTCAAATAAAAATGCAATTACAATTCCCAACCGCTAGATGGCAATTGTAGCTCCACTGAGACATGACTACTGGCAACGCGAGACACGAGAGTTAGTAGAGGTATGTGTTTTTGTTTTGACATGTGTTGATTATTTATCTATATTATTTGTTATCATGTTTAGGAAGCGTGACATTTTAGTGAAGGGAGCAGATCGTAGTTGATAGTTATCCGTGACTAGGCCCACAGTTCAGCACGCATGTGTTCAGGGGATTAATTGCAGAATTTAATAGAGTAAAAGTTGTATTATTTGTACGTGTTTACAAACTCAAGCGATTTTAAAACAGGCGAAAGAGCAAACAACAGAACAAACACAGCTTTGACAAAGATTAATCCATATTAATTTATACAGTGAACACATTCAGAAGAATTGGAGAAACTGAGGAGGAGTTTCAA